GGAGGAGAAAAAGAGACAGAGAAAATAAGGCCAGAAGTGTCTCTGTAGGTGGGAGTGGGAGTCAACGGGGAGGTGGAGGTGATCGAGAAGCAAACAGATATGAATTGCTTATTCAAGGCTTGAATCTGGTGTCATGAGAGAAATGGTGGTGGTCTTGGAAGAGGCCATGGGGTGGGGCCACAGAAGAGACACAGCTGCATGTTGGCCATACTCAGGGTGGTGAGGAAAGCAGCGCTAGGCTGCGGCTGGAGGAACACCCTGGAGGTCACACCTCTGTGGTCTGTGGGGATGAGCCCTGAACCTCAAGTCAAGAGGTATGAGTTCTAGTCCAGGTTTCTACCACAGTAAGTGAGTCATGCATGTGGGCCTCTGACCCCTTAGCAGTAAACGGGGGGGCTGGTCTAGATTACCCCAAGATGCTCACATTCATTTCCACACTCTTGGTCTCTGCTGGGCTTCGGGGACATGGGTTAGTATGGCCCTTTGTCAGGCACATGCCAGGAGTGGGGCTGTGCAGATGGCATGGAAGGGTTCCTGACTCCCTGTTCCCACTGGAGCCAGCTCTACAGAAGGAACCACTTGGATGTTGCTGTCCTGGGCTTCAGCACTCAGAACTCCTTGCTCTTTGTGGCCATCCCAGCTATCTCTGTCATGTGAGTGCCTGTCCCCAGCTGAATCACTATGGTGAGGTGTGTGAGCTTTGACAACAGGTGGGGGACAACATGTAGTTCCCCTGGCCCAAAGGGGACTGAAGCTAAGCACCTCTTGGCCAAGCCACCACGCTGCCCTATGGCCGCTTCACTGGCTGCCCCTCATCATGGCCAAGGGCCCAGAAATTTCCTCCCCAGGGACGGGGGGTTGGGGCCCCTGCCTGCCTTCAGAGCCCTATCATCAGTGTTGGGCATTGGTGGTGTTTTCCGGGCCTGCGGGAGGGTGATGGTGAGGCTGTGCTACAGCCATCACCTCCGGAGAAAGGGGCGCATGGGAGGTGGAAAGCCCTGGACCTGGGCTGTGGCTCAGTTGAGGGACACATGGCATGGACTTTTACCACACAAGTTTATTTAAATAAAAGTGAACACATATGCAGGCTGGTGCCCGAGGGGCAGGGGGTGGGGAGGGCAGGTGGGAAGCAGATGGACAGTGGGGTCCAGGCAGAGTCTGTGTGGTGAGCCAGGTGGCAAGAGGCAGCGGCTGGGGGCCTCTGGGCAATGCTGGGCTTCGGTGCTGGGGCAGGGGGCCTTGGGTGGGTGAGCCTGGTGCCAGGAGGTCACTTCCATCCCTCACATGCTCCCCTCCCTCTCCCTTACCCCCCTGAGCCTACAGCACTACCTCCTCAGCCCCCTCTCCCTCTCCTGACATCAGCCTTCCCTTCAACTACTGAGAAGCCAAAAGACAAAATAAATTAGAATGGGTGAGTCCTGCCCCAGCCCCCAGCCTTGGGGAAGGGAAGCCAAGCAAGGCACACTGCCCCGGAGCCCGTGCTGTCAGCCCTGGAAAAGAACAGGTAAAGTGCAAGGAAAATCCAGTAAGTAAAAATATACCAATGACTTTGTCAAATACACAGCTGCTGGCTGTCAGGAGCAGGTGGTTGGCTGGGGCGGGTGGCAGCAGCACCCTGGGAAGTGTTGGGCAACACAGCAGAGAGACAACGGAAATAAATAGGGTGGGTGTGGACAGGGGTCCCGCCAACTGGGCCAGTGCTACCCAGGACGGGCTTCTGCCTGCTTCCCGGCCCCATGTCCCCAAGCCCCGCTCGCCTGGCTCCCAATGCTGCGGCACTGACACAAAGCACCCGGCCGACTGTGTTAGGAAAGGACTGTAATGTGGGGGTGGAGCAGGGAGGGAGGCACGGGGAAGCTGTGCAGTCAGCCAGGGCTGCGGCCGCCCTCAGTACTCGTCCTGGTCTTCTTGTTGGTGCTCTTCAATCTCATCGTCCTCAGGGGGTGCGAATCCTTCCTGCGGGGTGGGAGGGAGGGGAAAGTGGTGGGCCAGGCAGGGCTTCTCAGGTCTATAGGTAGCTGAGGAGCAAGGGGTCAAGAGTCCGGGAGCCCTGTTAACAGGTGGCCCTGGGCTAGTGACTTCACCTCTCTCTCATTAGTAAATGTTCTCCACGGTCCTTTCTGGTCCATCATGCTTCTGGTCTTAGGGTCAGGCCAGACTGGGGAGGGCCCGATGGGCCTGGGAGTGCTCACCTCCGTGGCATAGAGGATGCTGATGATGCCTGAGATGACAGGGCTGTTTTCACTTTCATGCTCCTGGCAGATGAGCTCGATGTCACGAAGTTTGCTGAAGTAGAAGTCACGCTCCTTCTCCAGCCCATCCACTGTCAGCTTCAAGTCCACCAGCTGCTTGGGGACAAGGAAATGTTCAAGCCAGAAGTCCCCGCCTCAGGCTCCCCTGCCTGCCCTCCTCTTGTCCCTCAGACACCCCAAGGGCCTGGCTTTGGTGACAGGGCTTTCTCAGCTACCCTTACCCATCCGACTCACCTGCTGGTTGAGTTCAAGAATTTGGGCATCAGTCTCATGGCCACCATTTCGGGCTGATGGAGGATTCTTCCGGAGGATGCAGGGTGGGGCCACGTTGCTCAGCCGGCCGGAGGTCTGCATGTTTTTTGGGCCTGTGGGGGATGTCCTCTGTGGAACTGCCCAGAGAAAGAGTCAGGTGAGGCCACGTGAGCCCACAGCGCACATGGCAGGAGACAGCCTGGTGTGAGGACTGCGGGGCAGGCCCATGCGACAGGCAGGCACTCTCAACCCCCTGCCCCCACCCCCGGATGGGCATCTACAGCTAGGCCTGGAGCCTTGGCCCCATGGATACTCCAGCAGCTGGGCTGCCCTTTGGCAAGGCCAGGAGAGCAGAAACTATAGGGAACTAAAAGACGGTGTGAGGTGTTGGGGTGAGAAGAGAGCTGGCCTGAGGGAGAGAGGAGATAAACTGGGACAGCGAATTTGGGGAAGTGGAGCTGGAAGGGTTCAGGGCCCTCTAGTACTGACAGCTAGAGGAAAGGCGGCTGGCACAGGGTCTTGCCTAACAGAAGCCCCAGCCCAAAGCCATCATCCCTGGGTGGCTGCCCCTCCTGGGGCCCTGTGTCAGGATGGGCTCTGTTGCCCTCTGCTGGGCGGGACTGGGTATCTGCACAGCGGTGGAAAAATCAGGGACCCCAGCTCCTCCCCAGCACAGCCAGCATGCCGTGGCCACTTGCTCACTAGCAACTGCACCTCCCTAGACAGCTAGACAGCAGGCTGCTTCTAGTGCAAAGCAAGCAGGCGGGCAAGTGGGGCAGGCCCAGGCGGAACAGCAGCACAGACGGAGGAGGTGGCTCTGCTATGACGGGGTCCGACGCGGGCTGGGGCTGCTCCTCTCCCTTCCCCTCCCAATGCTGCTGTTTCTCAAAGGCCCTCCTGATTCTCTCCCTTCCCCTCCAGGACCCAGACAAAGCCTTGTTTCTAGAGACTCATCTTTTGAGGACTTAGGACTGTTGGGCCTTTGGAATGGGGTAAGGTGTGATCAGCTTGGCAACTCCTGCTCCTGGCCGGCCAGTGGGCAGGGGGCAAGAAGGGGCTGTGGTGCTGGCACCAGGCTCTTGGCCTGGAAGCACCTGGACGGAGAAACCAAGCCACCTTGCTGCCCCATCATCCTGAGGCAAACAAGTTAGCTCATCCTACAAAACAAGGTGCCTTCAGCCTCATACCGCCAGCTGCCACCATGGCTGGTGCTGGTGGCTCTTCTCTTAGAGCAATTTTTGGAGCTCTCTCACCCACTACTTTCACTCCCCCGGTCTAAGTGGCCAGCAGGCGGCGTCATCTGAACTCCGTGATAACAGTCTCCTCCAGGCTGGCAGGGCCGGGCCGTGGCCCAGGGGGCACTCCTGGCTGTGGAGGACTGCCGGCCCGGCCCCCCACACTCCCTCCCCCGGCTCGGGCACGTTACCTGCTGTGCCAATGAGTTTCTTGGATTTGTTGAAGATCTGATCACCTGGGTTAGGAGGTGGCGCTACGTCCTGGCCCTGCCGCGCCAGCAGAGGGTTGTAATCCTTTCCATCATAGTTTGCGTCAAAGAATTTCTTAAACCACTGAATAAACTCAAAATTATCTTGGAATTTTCCTTTCACTAATTTCTCTACAGGAATGATCTGAAATAGACCACATAAGCAGAGTACTTTAGCCACCTGCTGCTGTAGGGCTGCCTTCCTCCGCCGAGGGCCACTGCTGTCAGGAAAGCCAGCCCCTGGGCTGCAGCGTCCTCCACCTTCTCCATCTGCCCCCCTCCCATGGCACCAGAGCAGACAGGCTGGCAGGCCCCGGTCTCGGATCCAGAGACATCCCTTCTCTACAGGCACTGTGTGGAAGAACTGTGAGGGGAGGCGTCCCTGGGCTCTACTGCCTGCATGTGGGCTGGGGGTCTGCAGCCACCGAGGCAGGAGAGTGAGCAAAGACACTTTCTTGGGCCCTACAGAGAGAGAAAGAAGTGGAACTTCACAGGAGCACACACAGAACTCAGTGTTGGGAATGGGCAGGGTCCAGAGAGGAGGAAGGGAAAGGAATGTTGTCATGATGGAAGGGCAAGTGTTGTGGGCTTTTCCATTGTGCCTTGAGCAGGGGAAAAATTCCTTCTGGAGAGTCGGGAGGTGGAAGGAGGCGCGAGCACTGAAATGACCCCAGCACCCCCTGTTGCCCAGGCTGGTGGGCCATCTTCTTCCCCAGGGTCACACAGCTGCTCGGGGCCCCCCGGAGCGCAGGCACCTACTTTGTCGACACCCATCTTCTTGAAAGCTGCTTGCAGCACCTTGAAGTTGTGGATGTATTCATGCTCTAGCTTGGCCTGAAACTTCACTTTCCTCAAGTGCACACAGCCGGGGAAGAGCATGTCCATGAACTGGCAGTAGGCTGCCCCTGTGGAGAAGGGCGCTGGCTGAGGGGGCTCACTGATCTCCTGTGGGCTGCTCTCTCTCACTTCCCCAAACCCTGTCTCCTCTTCTCTCTCCTTGTTCTGGGGCTGGGGCCATTCCTACTTTCAGGATAGACATGGCCAGAATCCCCCCAGCTTTCTAAGAATAGCAGCAATGACTATTTATTGATGCATATGACGAACCAGCACCACACCAAACACTGCATGTAGATAGGGCAATCCCAACGGCAACTCTAGTTAGTTGGTGACATTATCTCCATCTTATGGATGGGAAAACCGAGGCCTAGGGCAGTATATAGTGACTTGCCCAGGGTTGCACCACCAGAAGAAGAGCTGAGAGTTGGACCCAGAGAGGCGAGGTCAGACCTCTGGCTCTCTTGCCGTCCTGGCGCTCAGCTCCCCGCTCCTCCTCTCCCTGCAGTCCTTCTCGGTGCCTCTCCTGCTCTTCTCTTTCCTTGCTCACATTTCCTGACTTCAGCTCCAGCCAGTCTGACTAGTTCAGTGCCACCAGCTCTCCGCCTTAGTCTAATCACAAGCTACAGTCATGGGTGGGCTGCCTAACAATGGTGTGGTCAATGATGGACCACATATATGATAGTGGTCCCATAGGATTATAACACCATATTTTTATTGTACCTTTTCTATGTTTAGATATGTTTAGATGTGCAAATACTTAGCATGTGTTAAAACTGTTTGCAGTATTTAGTACAGAAACATGCTGTCCAGGTTTTTAGCCTAGGAGCAGTAGGTATACCACATAGCTGAGGTGTGTAGTAGGCTACGCCATCCAGGTTTGTGTAAACACACTATGTGATGTTCACACAACATCGCCTGAGGATGCATTTCTCTGGGCACATCCCCATCATTTGGCCACGCGTGACTGCTGTATATTCCCTGCTGTGTCTGCTCTGCCTTCTGGCCTTTCTTTCCTTCCAGCAGGGCCACTTCCCGTATTTCCAGCCTCCTACCTGAGCATAGCTGTTCTATCTTGGTGTAGTTGAGGTGCAGGGAGTCATTGACCCACGCAAGCATATCATGGCGACTCAGATTTTCACTGGTCACAGATGTGGAGTACACATTGACGGCCATACCCCAGCTGAAAAGTAAGAAGAAAGGTGAGGTAAGCACTAGGGCTTCATGCAGCTCCTTAGCTGTCAGGAGAGAGGGGGTATATGATACTGGGAAGTAAGAAATATTCCCTCCAGATTGGCCTTGCAGTTTACCCCCAGAGGAGGGGTCTTCTTTAGACATTTAATGAGCATCTACTATAATGCTAGACATGTGCCAGGAGCTAGCAATTCGAAGTTAATTGAGATATGGCCTCTGCTGGCTGGCCATATCTTATCGCTCACACCTATAATCCCAGCACTTTGGGAGGCTGAAGTGGGCAGATCATGAGGTCAGGAGATCAAGACTATCCTGGCCATCATGGTGAAATCTTGTCTCTACTAAAAATGTAAAAATTAGCTGGGTGTAGTGGTGCTCACCTGTAGTTCCAGCTACTTGTGAGGCTGAGGCAGAATTGCTGGAACCGAGGAGGTAGAGGTTGCAGTGAGCCAAGACTGTGCCACTGCACTCCAGCCTGCAGCCTGGTGACAGAGCAAGACTGTCTCAAAAAAAAAAAAAAAAAGATATGGCCTCTGCCTTGAGGCATTTACAGACAGGCAGATCCCCTCAGTAGGGAGCGATGGGGCAGTGAAACAGGCACATAAATGTTCAGGGACAGCACAAAGAAGGGCGTGAGCGCATCTGCTGGGCAGGGTCAGCGAAGGGCTCAGAGCAGAGATGTTGGAGCCTGAAAGTAATAGGAATTTTCCAGACATAAAAAGGAATGGGTGGAAGGCATTCGGGCACAGGGACTAGCAAGAACAAAGGCAGAGCTTATTCCGGGCACTCTGAGTTGTGGAGCAGGCCCGGGGAGCAGATTTTTCTGTTGGGGCGTGGCACAATGAGGTTGGCAGGGACAGGTTGCCAGGGCCTTAGGAGGAGGAATCTGGACTTTCTATTTGGAAGCCATTAGAGGGTTTTAAGCAGACAGTAACCTGACCAGATTTGTGTTTTAGAAAGCCAGCTAACCTTTGCCTCTGCTCTGAATTCCGACTCCATATTCCTGTGGCTGATGCAGAGGCACCTAAATTCTGCTTGTCCACAACCTTCCCTTAGAACATGCTTCTGGCTCCTATATTCATCATCCCAGTGAATGTCACCACCAGCTATCACTTACCACCTTAGAGGCGTGTGGGGTCATCCTAGACAGCCTCCTCTCCCTCATGCTCCTACCAAGTCACTCCTCAAGTCCTGCAACCTCACCTCCTCAACCCACCCTGTTCTGCTTACCCTCAGGATTTAGGCATACCATTGTCCCTTGGTATTCATGAGGGAATTTGTTCCAGAACATCCCCCTATACTCAAATCAATGCATAGTCAAGTGTCTTATATAAAATGATGTAGTATTTACGGATATCCTCCTGTATGATTTAAATCATCTCTAGATTACTCATACTCCTAATACCTACTACCACGTCACTGTGATGTAAATAGTTGTTATACGGTATCGTTTAGGGAATCATGACATGAAAACGAAGTCTGTAGGTGTTCAGTACAGATGCAACGATCCATTTTTCTTTCCTGAATATTTTTTATCGATATTTGATTGAATCCACAGATCTGGAACCCATGGATGTGGAGGCTGGCTGTATTTTCTCTCTAGCACAGGCTGGCAGGAACCTCCTAAAAGGTCTTCCAGCCTCCAGTCTCTCCTTCCTCCTAATCTGTCCTTGACACTGTGTGGTTAGAATCTACCTAAAAGCAGGTCTGACCACCCCCCTCCCCCACTTCAAGTCCTTTCAGCCAGCAGTCATAAAAGAGACACGCATTGGCTGAATTTGCCTTGCAGACTTAAACTGTTTAGCACTCATAGTGTTGGAAACATTTTTGAATTAGTGCCCAATATATTAAAGTTGAGATGTTTAATAACTTGGGATTTCTGGCTTCTTTTGGCCACTCCGAGCCTGTGCTCCCGCACTGAAAGCAGCAGTTGGAGTGGAGCCAGCAGTGAGCCTCCTTCCCACCCCACAGAGGCCAAGGGTCAGCTGCTGCTGATCGCTGATTTGTGCTGTTAAGAAAAGGAGGACATATTTCTTGTAACCAGGTCTTTATCTGAAATGGAGAAACAAGATAGATCAAAAGAACTGTGTTTTCCGAATTGTGAGAACATGTGTTTCTGGAGTGAGTGAAGAATATTTCTCCAGGTTTAACAAGTAAAGTGTCTCTGTGAAATAAGAATACATCTTATGTACCTTATATTCTTACAGGAAGAATATTCCCCTGTCTGTTGCAGGCATCTGCTGTTAACACATGACTCCTCCTGACCACTTATCAAATCATAATGGGACCCCACCTCTGCAGCCTTATCTCCCACTTTGCTCCCCCAGTTAGGAGCCACAGGCAGCTTCCTACTCACCCTGTCTGGAATGCTGTCCCTCCCACAAAGTTTATTCATCCTCTGCTTCATGGTTCTCAGCTGTGGCCCCTGGACCTGCGGCACTGGGGCTATATGGGGATCAGCTGGTTAGAAATTCCAATTCTCTCGCCTTCCCTGAGACCTACTGAATGAGAAACTGCCTCTGACCAAGATGCCCGGAGGATCTGCAGGCACGGCCCCATTTGAGCAGCACTACTTTACAGAGGGAGACTCAGCAAGGCATCTGCAGAGCTGTGTACCCCTCACGTTCCTACCCCTGACCCCAAGCACATAGGATGGAGCACATTTAACTTAAATGAATGCTTTGAAGAAAAATCATGAGAGAAAACCCTCTTCTTTATTCCTAGTTCTTCTTCCTTTGAAAAATAAACCTTGTCTTTCCTTGCCCTGGCAAAGGGAGGCCAGGTGGGGTCAAAAAGCCAAGAGAAACAGAAATGAATTATTGTCTTGGGAGCTTCTAAAGACTCAGGATCTGGCAGTTTCAGAGATTTCCGAGGGTAATGTTGACTGCACTTTGAGTCTCCTCCTACACAGCGGCTCTGCGCCCATGGCCCTGCATCTTGGCCCTTGCGCTCACCACTGGACTTGTTTACAAGCCAAGAGTGGGGTATCCAGGCCCGTCACAGGCAAGACGTTCAGTAACGTTGTTGAACTATTGACTGATGCCTCATGTCCTCTCCTCTTTCTGAATCGTGTTTCATCATCTT